CCTCGGCGGTTCGGTGACTGCCCCCCCTGTTCCCGCAGGGCGATGCTTTAAAAGCGCTCTGAAATGGAGCTCCTCCAAGCCATGCCTTCAGTTCGCCTTGGAGAGGCGGCGCATTCTGCTTGCTCGCGGTGATGCCTTCCTGCTGCTCAGTTTCTTTGTGCTAGCTCATGTATGTCCCTCCTTTCGCGCTAGCGGGTGTGTCAGTTCCTGCGCTGTCAGAGCGATTCTGTGCGCCCTGAAGAATGTATCGCTGGGGACGTGGGGTTTTAAATATAGAAGTTAAGGCAGGGATCATGTTTCATTACTGCCTTTTATTAAATCCCCTTAAGAACAGCTGAATTAACAGACTGTATATTTTCATACTTTTTTTTAATATTCTTGTATGTATGTTCCCCAAAACTCCTCTGGGTGTCTGAAGTTAGATGCCTGACTGCTCGTCATTAAATACTTCATCAATGCTGGTATTTATTGCCAGGTATAGAAATAAATTACCTGACCAAGAAGATACTTGCTTCTCTTGCTGCAAAGCATGGAAGCAGCTACCCATTTTTCACTCCAGTGATGTGAGGGGTACTCTAGGTGTTTAATTGTGTTCTGATAGTCCCAGTAAGTACAAACAATAAATGGCATTCTTTCATCTTCTGTTGGAGGAAGAGGAATTCAGCTCACTGAAGCTCACTAAGTTTCATGCCAAGTGTTGATACAGAGCATGAAGAGGTGACCTGTTTTAAGTTGGGAAAGTCTTCCCTGCTTTTATGTAGTGAATAATTAAGGCCTATTTTTTATCTCAACTTCATAATAAGTATGAAAGCCTCAGTTATTTCTGTAGCTGTATAGTTGCTCTCCACTCTGGTGAATACACTCAGTAAGGGTAAATATGTTTAGCCCCTCTCAAACTTTGTGTTTATCAACTCTACTGCTTGCTGCAAATGTTTGGTTTTTTGGTTGCTAAATAAATACATCTTATTATGACTTATTGATCAGCTTGTGAAAGTTAGAAAAAAATGCGCTAATTCTATGTTTCTTCCTTGCTTGGGTGTAGATTGGGTGTTTGACCTTCGCTCTCCCATGTTAGGGCTGTAGCAGGGAGATAAAGGGATAATCTCAGAAACCTTGTGTTTTTGCTATCTAGAGTTAAGCATTAAATAAGTATTTGCTTATGATCCAACTTGAAATGCTGGGTAGATATTGGAGGACCCTGAACTTTCATCAACCCTGTTGTTTTTAGTTAACATGCACATTTTAATTGGCTGTATGTTTTGCTTTCCATAAAATTGAAGTCTAATAATAATAATTGGCAGCTCTAAAAATAAATGTAACTGGATGGGTTGCTTTGTATGCAGTGCTAGGATTTTCAGTAAAGGATTACACTTAAAGGGAGTACTGCTCTCAGTACTGTCTGTACTGAATAAAGTTTATCACACAACAGAACAATATATATTGGAAATGTTCTAGGGTAAAAGCCTAGAAAACTGCTAATAAACAAGGACCTGATTTGTGTTTGCAGGTGGTTTCTCAGGCACAGCTAAAGATTCAGGAAGTTCTCTGCTGAAATGATACTGTGCATTAAGAAGAATCACAAGTCTGGTTTGCATCAGTGCAGTATTTGTTAGTATCTCCCAGAGCACCTCTTCAGCTGATAATTGAAACTGCAAAAGCACATGATAACCAGTATGGAACACACAAAAAACTGTCTACTTGATCTTAAATTGTTAAGGCTAAGCTCCTTAGAAAGTAATAATAAACAAGAGTAAGACCAAAATTCTGTTTAAGAAAATACTGAAGGAACTTGCAGTCATAGCTCATTTGGCAGTTCTCAGCCGATTTTAGTTTTCTGTAGTTAGCTTTTCACCAGTGATGTATGGAGTCTGAATCACTGAAAAGATGAGCTGTGCTGTATCCTGCTTTGGGTATGGAAAAGATGTCTGGTCAGTGTGATGACAAAGTTTTGTGGACAGTGGTTTTATTTTTCTTAAATAGTCTTATTTTGACAGCAATGACCATAAGCAATAACAATTTTCTTAAACAGAACTGGCCTTAGCTGTCATACAGAATGATTTGTCTGCTGACAATGCACAAAGGCACAATATTAGTAGTGTCCTCTTTCAAAGTAGTCAAATGACATTTCAGAGTATAAGATGTATTTGTTATGAAATGTAGCAATAAAAATTGGGGAGCTTCTGAATTAAAATCTCATCATCTGTCTTTGAAGAAAGGAAGGTGTTTCACTCCAGAGATGTTCTTATGCTTGAGGTTTGTCCTTAGCTGGCGAACAGGGCCTGGGCCAGGAACTGTTCTATTCTTCTCTCCTTCCAAGGTACATTTTTATGGACACCCTTCAGCAACTACAAGTTTGCACAGTTGTCAAAAGAGATCTTGCCCTGTATCCAACCAGCAGTGCTTTCCTGTCTTGGAGGAGTTCCTAGATCAGAGTGGATTTGGCTGAGATCTAATCTCTTGGTGTCAGAGGGGTCTGTCTGGAAGATTCACAGCTGTTGTTGCAGAAGAGAAGTAGCAGGTTTACATCAGTTTAAGTTGATGTACCCTTAAGCCTCTTGAGACTGCGATATTTGTGCAGTTGGAGCCTCTGTTCTTGTTTAGGTTCAAGCTTGTGAACCTTTTTCTTTACTTTGTACAAAGACATGCATGTCCCTTTCCAGCACTGATCATTGTTTTAGTGGGATGTTGCTTTAGGCTTTCCAGTCATGGACCAAGAGCACTGTGATATGTAGCTTCCTGCTGCTATCTCCCCATTTTTCTAGGAGTTTGCAGGTGTGCAGACAACCTTAGAAAGATGATCATTGCTTGCTCCAAATAGCCTTGGAGATGTGTATTGAAAATCACAACTGTATGGTATTTTGGAAATGGTGGATAGGTTTTCCTGGTGAGGAAAATGGGTAAAATTGAACTTCTCTGGATGAAAGATGAGAAATGTGAAGATGAGAAATGTGAAGATGAGGAGTGGAATTGAAACTCTATAGTTTTTACATGACTTGAATTATTCCTTTGTCTTTAACCAATCCATTTTTGATGGAAGGATGTTAACTCTTCTCTCTTTCTTCCTTTTTAGCTTGGGTTTACTCTCGGCAATGTGGTTGGGATGTATCTGGCTCAGAACTATGATGTGAGTATCCCTGTGTTCTCAGAGTTAAGCCTACTCTGAAGTGAAAATACAAGGCTGTTTTCTCTCAAATGAAACTGAATCCATCTTTATTTCGATGGTTTATTTTATTTAAACAGATCATACTGACTAGTTACAGATGAACTCAAACATTTTCAGGAAGAATTTCTTCACTGAAAGCACGATCAGACATTGGAATGGGCTGCCCAGGGAAGTAGTGGAGTCACCATCCCTGGAAGTGTTCAAGAGAGAACTGGACGTGGCACTTAGTGCTATGGTCTAGTTGACAAGGTGATGTTTGGTCAGAAGTTGGACTGGATGATCTCAGAGGTCTTTTCCAATCTTAATAGCAAAAAAAAAGAAAAACAAAGAATATAAGTGAAACCAAAACATTACCTCTCTGACATCTTCTCTGTGATAGTGTAACGCTTAAAGCCTTAACTGGTGTTCAGTCCTAGAGGCCAAGCATTCCCATAGATAGAGACAGGAGGAACAGAAAAGCTTTAGCAATTGCTCATGGATTTTACTGGCACTAAAATACTGGTTTCCTGAGTCCAGTAGCCTGTCTGCTCTCTGCTCAGTATTGTGAAAATTCAGCACCTGCTTCTGTGTCAAAAAGCGTATTGCCCTGCCCTGTACTCTTTGTTTCCTCCCTTTCTCACAGAAAAGGAACTTTCTGTTAACTGTGAGAGCTGAGGAAAGAGTTTTCAGTGTGAGAGGGCAGAAGATTTTAAGCTGAGTCTTCAGTACATTCTTAAAATTTCTGCAGATTCAGCAGAATCCTTTGTAAGAGCAGTACCACTTAGTTTTTACTGGCTAGAGGAGTTAATGAAATTTAACATATATATTTTTTAATTCTTATGCAATCTATACTAGCCTGATTTAAAAAAAAACCAAACAGTTGAAGCTCTGATGACATTTATGTTTTACTTTCCTCTCATCTTTAGTACTGAAGTCTATCTTGCTTGAAAATTTTTTATATTTTGCTTCTTGTTTCTGCACAAACTTTTGTGATGTTTCCTGTCAGTCACTCCAGTAAGAGAACTAATATTACAGAAATGTAGTCATAAGTATTTGGATGTATTGATATGTATCATAAGCATTGTGTAGTGCTTTTAAAGAGTTGCCACAAGAGGGGGACTTAGGCTTTTGATTTGCAGGAAATGGTTCCTTGGGAATGTAATGCTGACTCGCTGGATGAACATGATAATTTTATTGCTGGTATTGAAGATGGTTTGTTTTAGATGACACCTAAGGTAAACTCGTCATAATGAGGTCCTAATTCTGTAGCTGTTCACACATGTGCTTAGTTATAGGTACAGGGAGGGTTCTGAGAGCAGTGGAGTTCTCTTGGTGTAGTTTAAATGCCAGGGGTGTTACAGGCTGGGCTTTTAATTTAATTTGCTCAAACAGAGCTTAACTTTCAAAGGGAAGCTAAAAAAAACATATTACCGGTACTGTCAGTCTCAGACCATCCAATAAGACAACTGCAGTCTGTTTGGATTAACTTCTGCCCTGTGGTCTGGTTACATATGAAGTAAAAACCATGGGATTTTTTTCATAACTACTAATGGAAACATTGCTCGTAATCAGACCAGTTAGCTTGTAAATATGTTGCCACTTCCCAGTTTTAGCTAGAGTCGTGAGATTATCTATTTCTTGCTCTTAAAACTTGCAGCTGGTTTTTTTCAAGTTTTCAAAATTTTTGGTTGGGTTATTTTATCAAAACTCTTTTATTTGCAAGAGAAAGCTGGAGTTTTGAAGCTCACAAGCGGTAAATTGAATTTTCATTCAAGTGTCAAGCTGCAAAAGGTTGCCAATTTGCAATGCGGTAGAATTCCCCAGTGAGGAATTTTGTTCCCCACAAGATGAACGAGGAGAAGTATTTCTCCATAAATTTCTTGAGAACATATTCGATGCTCTTGAACATCTTTTTTCTCTCAGGTTGTTACCAGTAAAGTGCAATCTAACATCCCCTACAGAAGTCTTTGATAAAAGTCTGCACATCAGTGTTTAAATCGGCTTATTCTTGGCAGTTTGTCATCTTTCAGCAAGGAAGCCAGGCTGGGCTTACTGAATTTCCTGTAAAGTGATCTTTTTTTCCTGCCTCCTGTTCCCGTTACCACTGGCTGACTTCTAGCCTTAACAGTCTAAAATATTTCCTGAAGCCTCATGTGAGGTGCTTACGTCTGCTGTTTGCTTGATATTGCTTTGTTTTTAACCTCTGTGCAAGGTAACAAACACTGGAAGTATTTTTAGAAACCAGTTTAAACTTCATAGAATTTCTTGCTGTATTTATGGTATTGTCTTCTCTGTTGAGGCTCATGTAGCTCAGAATTTTTTGTTAATTTGACTGGGCATTGATTGTTTGGTGGTTCTTTTGTCTTGAAAGATTCCTAACATTGCGAAGAAGCTTGAAGATTTTAAGAAGGATGTGGAAGCTAAGAAGAAACCTCCTAGCGACAAGTCTTGAAAGAGCAGTGTTCCCCAGGTCACCTCTGAGCATGCATCAAGGATGCAATTTACCTTTCAGGCAATGAAGGTCAAGTAGAGGGTTGGCATGGGAGGTTCCTCCACTCTTAGTGTCGTAGAACTGGGATGTCCTTTTGAAGGAGCAGCCATGAACTTTTCCTGGGACTGATTTTCAAGGGTTTCAGAATTTGGATTTGCAGCTGATGTGTGACTGGATAAGATCATTTGTATTTTTTGTTATTGCTTTTCCTAATATTTTGTAACCCATTTTTACCTGATCCAACTAGAGTCCCGTTAGTCCTGTAACTATGTGTACCTCACACTTTGTAATACCCTAGTTCTTAGAACATTGAAGAAGAAATTAAATGCATCAAGAAGTAACTTTTGAGGTTTCTTGTCATTTGTTGTGTGCAGCGGTACTTCACTGTCCTTAAGATCCACATTCCATTGTTGGAAATGGGAAAGCTCATTTGTCAAAGTAAACCCCATTAAGTGTGGGTTGAACAAGTGGACAACAAAGTGGATTGAGAACTGGCTGAGCAGTAGATTCCAGAGAGCTGTGATCAGTGACACGGAATCTAGTTGGAGGCCTGTGACTAGTGGTGTCCCCCAGTTTTGTTCAACTTACTCATCAGTGAAGTGGATGAGGGGACAGAGTGCCGTCTCAGCAAGTTCACTGATGATACAGAACTGGGAGGACTGGCTGATACCTCAGAGAGCTGTCTTGCTTTTCAGAGGGACCTCAACAGGTTGGAGGGATGGGCAGAGCAGAACCAACTGAAATTCAACAAGGGCAAGTGCAGGATGCTGCACCTGAGAAGGAATAACCCTGAGCACCAGTACAGGTTGAGCACTGACCTGCTGGAGAGCAGAGCTGCAGAGAAGGACCTGGGGGTCCTAGTGGACAGGTTGCCCATGAGCCAGCAGTGTGCCCTTGTGGCTAAGGAGGCCAATGCAATCCTGGGATGCATTAAGAAGAGTATTGCCAGCAGGTCAAGGGAGGTGATCCTGCCCTTCTACTCAGCCCTTCTGAGTATTGTGTCCAGTTCTGGGGTCCTCAGTACAAGAGGGACATGGAGCTCCTGGAGCAGGTCCAGCAGACGGCAACAAAGACGGTTAAGGGACTGGAGCATCTCTCTTATGAGGAAAGATTGAGGGAGTTGGGCCTGTTCAGTCTCGAGAAGAGATGACTGAGAGGGAGCTCAGTAATGATTCGAGTACATGAACAGGGGATGCCAAGATAATGGAACCAGACTTCTCAGTTGTGGAAACCAGTAAAACGAGAGGTAACAGTAAAAACTGCTGCACAGGAAGTTCCACTTGAATACAGGGAAGAACAACTTTACTGTGCAGTCACTGAGCACTGAACAGATTGCCCAGGGAGGTTGTGGATTCTCCCTCACTGGAGGTATTCAAGAACTGTCTGGACACAATCCTGAGCCATGTGCTCAAGGATGACCCTGCTTGAGCAGGGAGGTTGGACCAGATGACCTGTTGTGGTCCCTTCCAACCGAAATGATTCTGTATGAGTCTGTGGGAGGGGGAGAGCTCCTGCATTTTCCTTTATGTTAAATGATCACTTTCAGCAGTGCAAACGTTGCACAAACATGGCTGGTTTCAAAAAGTACAATGGGCCTTTGTCTTTGCTGCTCCTTCCTTCTTGAGGGGGAAAGTGCCTCATACCCTTTTCCTGCTCCAGTATGGATCTAGGTTAAAGGTCATGGATCTGGGTCAAAAGTTATGGATCTGGATCAAAGGTCATGGACCATGCATGTCAAAGGGCACAGGTCTAGGTCACATTAGCTAGGAGTATTCTTTAGGCTTTGTTCTGGAAATAAAACACACCTTGCACCAGTCTCTGGCACTCCTGGTAAGTGGTACCAGTCCCTGTCCCACATGCTGGCAGTGGTGAGACCCTGCAGTGGTGGAAGGCTGCAGATCCTGCATTCTATGCTACTCCCAACCGTCATGATTTAACTCCAGCCAGCAACTCGGCTCCACGCAGCCACTGACTCACTGCTCCCTGTGGCCTGGGGAATAGAATCAGAAGAGTAAGAAAACTCATGGGTCAAAGTTCAATAGATAAAGCAAATGTCACAGACACAAGCAAAGCAAAACAAGGAATTCATTCACCACTTTGGCAGGCAAATGTTCAGTCATCTCCAGGAAACCATGTTGACTTGGCAAGACAAATACCATCACTCCCAATGTCTCCTCCTTGCTTCTTCCCCAGCTTTAAATGCTGAGCGTTATGCCATTTGGTATGGAATATCCCTTTGGTCAGCTGTCACAGCTGTGTCCCCTTCCAACTTGTGCCTCTCCAGCCTTCTAAAGGATTGTGGGGTGGGCTGAGAGGCATAAAAGGCCTTGACTCCATGTAAGCACTGCTCAGCAATAATGAAACCACCTCTATTATCAACACTGTTTCCAGTGCAAATCCAAAACACAGACCCATAGTAGCTACTAGGAGGTCTCTGGATTGCTGGAGAGGATGGGAGAAGACCTATCTTCTATAAATGCTGGGCAAGTGGAGGTCATCAGTTACACTATGGATCCAAACCATTCATTTTATGTACTTAATGGTCCAGCTTGTGTGTAGTTGTTCTAAGTATGCTTTTTTTTCCACTGCTGTTTCTGTGGAACAAGGGCTAGAGCTCAGTATTTCTGTGAGGTATGTCTGGTATTCACATTAATTCCTCATTCCCATGCATGATTTTCTGCCCATTGCCTTTGCATTTGGTTCAGCTGTCTACCATGTATTTTGTTAAGATTAGAACCAGTTATCTGCTGTCCCCATTATTGTTTGTCTGGTATGCTCCTCTTCACTCACTGCAGCCACTAAAAAAACACTGGTGTGTGAGAAAATGCACATCATATTGTAGCACTGTCCTGTTTGAACTACAGTTTTGTGCAAATACTGTTGTAAATTCTGAATAAACAGTTGCAGTGATTTGAATAGGTGTAAATGTTATTAATTTAAGAATCTATCAAAATTATTTTTTTCTCTGTAAAATAGAATACTTCTCTCAGCTCTGTAAGGTGATTTAAATCACTGAGTCCCCTTGACAATGTTTGTAGAAATGAAGGACAAATTAAAGTGCCAGAAAGATATTCTCCTGGTTTTTATTGAGAATGCCTGGTTATGGACCACTATGGACAAGCACAGAGAATGACCTCCATTTGTTCAGGCTCTTGATTAAAGTGTACCTAGAGTGCTTCTCCATTAGTGTTTTAGTTAGGATAAGGTTTGTGCCTTCAAAGTGAATTGTCCTTTTACCATGTTTTCACTCTAATCATGGGAAAACTGTAGAGTGCATGGACTGGATTTCTCTCAGAAGAGGCTAAACCATAAAGTGTGCTTTGATCTCTAATGGGTGTTTAGTCCATTAGACAGGCCTGGAGAAATTCAGGAAGAAAATATACCAAGCTTTGGGCACTGTTTTGCTCTTAGTGGACCCAGTAGAGTGTGCTGTTTGATATAAACATAGCATAAAAGCTTTTAAGTACAGGACTCTCTATGTACCCATTGTAATTTTCACCCTCTACCCCAAAGCCTTTCATTTGGATACATCTGAGTGGATTCCACTTTCAGGAGTTCTTACTGAATCAGTAAAGGCACATTTACAGAATAGCTTACACCTAACTTTTGCATCCTTTGCCAAAGTTTGGTAATGATAGAGTTATTCCACAGTGCAGTCCTGCAATAGAGGAAACTATTTCTCATGTGAAGGTTGTTCTTCTAAAGAATATAAATATATGTATGAAGAATATTCCATTCACCCATCTGCCCTAAAATGTGTAGCTCACATAAAATCTTTCAGGCTTTGCTAAGGATTATTTGGCAGATTTAAAAGCCACCTCAAGTCAGACAATCTTAGTAGCGATGCTACTGACTGCCTACAGTAAACACAAAAAAAACTCAAACAGGGAGAAATGGTTTAACATTGACTATCAGAGACCTAGCAGTAGCAGCATGTCTTGAAGCTACCAAGGATGTGCTTGGTGAAGGGAGCTGACAAATAAAGTGCTGAAAGTATTATTGTATGCTCTGTTTTTTAAGAGATTTCCATCAGCTTTCATAGACTTCAGACCAGACTGAAGGAATTTTCTTTCACACACAAAAACTTTTCCATAGAGTGAGAGAGCACTGCACAGCTGTTTACATGCTTTCGTGAATATGATGGACTTAGTTTTCCCCAAATTCCTCCCTACCCTCTCTCTTTCCTATTCTTGCATAGAGTGTTGAAAAACACTGGCTCTAACCCATTCATGTTAGTGTTTAATACTGGATTATTTCTTTCATCAAACATGCTTTTTGTTCTTTCCTTTCTTTACATGGAGATGAGAAGGGAAATAATATTCAAAATCTCTGTATTTGTTGCCAAACAGGCCAGTGTTGCTCTAAAAGTGTAATTTGGAGCTGAATCTTTCAGCTGAGCATTCCAAGCAGATGTTAGGATTTATTTTTTTTCCTTTCAGATTAGGAGGGAACGAGCTACAGCTGTAATTTTGTAGAAACAATATATGCTCATAAATATTAAAGACAGTACTTCTGAAGTGTCTCGCACTGTTTGCAACACTTTTCATTTTAGCTCAAGCTGTTTTGTTTTTTCTCCTACTTAGGAAGCTGTAAATCTGGATAATATTATAACACCGTTCATGTTGACTTTGCAACTACCCTATAACACATTTTACCTAGCCTGAGTTTATTCTAGATGATACTAAAGTTTAACCTTAACTTTTAGAGGGCAAAGAGTGCACACAGGTAATGAGTGTTTGATGCAGATCTTGCATCTGAGGGCTCAGAGTGCTTTGGATGCAGTAGTGTCACAGAAGGGCACAATGCACCATGAAGATACCTCAGAGCAAGTTTCTCACCTAACATGGGTCTGGTGATTTTCTGCCCATTCCAAATGCCTATGTGGATAGCTGGAATTGGCAGCTAAAATATGCAGTCTTCCTTCCTCTGGTTAAAACAATTGTGTTCATTTTCATGTATTGATTCTTTTGAGACATGTCCTAGAAGCTGAAGGTTCGAGGCAAAATTGGAGGAAAAATCCAATGAGGAGTGTCCTGTACAGTTCTTTTTATTTTTGCCTCAGACAAAAAAAGAGATATGTATCTTTATTTGTTAGACTTTTTGGTGGAATATGCTAACATTTATTTTGCAAAGTCCCAAGCCAAGGTCATTTTTATTGAATTTGTACTGAGATAAAATAGCTGTGGAGGTTATTTGCTTTTTCACCTGAAACATAGCTTGATCACAGATGATAAATTTTACTTTCTTGTAAAATAAAACAAATGTCATTAATTGCCTTCAGAATAGATGTTCTTGCCAAAGTCAATTCTGTCTTTAGTCTTTAATACATCTGAATAATACA